CCCGTATTTTCCGCGACTGCAGTTCAGTTAGGTAGCATTATTTCACTGTGCGCCGTGTCAGATTGTTCTAATTGTATACAGTATGTAATTCGGTTTAATTTACTATCTTTTAGAAGAGGGTCTGCATGAAACTACAGGTCAGTTAAATGATAAATCATATTTTGAAGCACAGTAAGAATCTTGTTTACGTGCAAATAAATAAATTTCTCGTGTATTTTGCAATTATTTTTTATTACGTACAAATTGTTCATTCATATATTAATTAAACATCGGTTTGAACAAGTAAAACATTTTATGATGATATCTATTTATCATCGGAAGAGGAATCACTTTACTCTTCTTTAATTTTTACTGTCAGTTCAGGCGAATCATTGGCACCATTTGAACAGGAGGTAATGGACTAGGTGATTCAGACTTTATTTGACCAATTGGCTTCAAAAAGCATGCAGTTTCAATTGTTTTCGCAGACTGCTGTTTACGAATAATAATCTCTTTGAAAGTTCGGAAGTGAGAGATACAGATGAACTTCAGAATCGAATGATGAGATAGTAAAGAAGAGCATGTCGTCAAGATGAAATCACAAATGAAAATAGCGCGGAAATACCGATGCCGGAACTGGAAACGAAAAAGAAAATTTTTTTTCCGCTAAATCGAAAGTCCATTTGATCTGGGTCAATTAAATCTAAGGTATACTGTATATCTTTGTGACAGTCTTATGTGTAGTTCTCGTTGCTTGTTTCTGTGATTAATTTGTATTTCAGGTGAAAAATTGTTGGCTATAGTTGGCTCTGAATCCGGTTCAATCTCGGCGCTTGTTGTTGCAGTTAAAGACGTGATGACGTGTGAAATATTGAAGACGTTTCCGCCATGGCACAGTTCAGGAGTGCGAGGTGAGATAGGTCTTTTCGGCCATGTTTTCAAATATTGTAACGACGCTACTTTCAGATGTAGCTTTCATTTCCCCTTCTATATTTGCGTCGATATCAACCGACCAAAGGTTAATGATAGTCGCCATCATGGTCAGTGACTCGAGTGTTGATGTGCAGGTATGGAGTTCTACTGTCGCCTTTAATATGATCTTTGATCCGTAGGTTCTGCGGACCTTTTATTTGCATGTCAGCGATCCGGCGAAGCTGTGTTTCTTCTTTGTTAGGTAGGTTGTAGTTAACTCTGCTGAATGGATGACAAGGGTAGAGGTTAATTCATCATTCTGGAGTCTCTTATTTAGGAAGTCTATTGTGATCATAGTCGTTGGGTGCGGTATACAGGTTCTAAAGTTCCATGTGACCGAACGTGGGCAGAGCGCGTCAGCCTTGAGATAACCGTTGGTGGAATATTCGCTTTCACAGTAATGCATCTGCAGTCATTCTGTAGGTTGGTTAATCTTTTATCTGCCGGTGGTCGATGAAGTCTCTGTGATGAATGGTGACAGCTGGGTTTTATTCTGATTTCCTAGGTTAATATTTGAATAAATGGTTAATTATCAGCAGTGATAATTATTAGCAGTGATTGGAGCCTTGTTGCTGTGCACTTTGCAGAGTGAAACTAGATAATGTTTGGTTAGTCTGTGACTAAACACTTTATGATCTTGTTGAATGGTCTGAGTTGCGGGGTCTGCTTGTGCCCATATTTAAATATGTGGGTCATTAATTCAAAGCTGTTTGTCTCGGCTGCACCGGTGTATTTATTTGGACTAGTTCAGCTACCTTCCAGCGGTTCCCAGATCTTCGGAAATGAGGCAGTGGTGCATGTTCGCTTATATAATCCATTACGAACCGTTGATTGGATCCCTGTATGCATGTAGCAGCTTCGGAATATCTTTTTTGGCATCTCTGCCTTTTCGGAGCTGAATTTCATTGACAACAGGCACGATTTCGTTTCAGCCATTCTGTTAGACCTGAGCAATGCTTGGAATAAGCCAGGTTTGACGACTTTTGACAGAAGTTGTATGCTTTCTGGCAGTGACCCAGAGCTAGACCGCACGAAACGGCTTGCTTAGACAGTCCTCCCATTAGAGTGGTTAAATTCCGTCACCAAGGTAATTCTTTGATGCAACGATTGTGGATTCTTTCAAAGTCAATTTCCTCTGTATCCATATAGCCGTGCTTTTCTACGCTTTCATAGTATTACTACCTTATGTTATATCCTTGACAACAGTACAGCGCCACTGGACGTTTCCCTTTAAAAGAAAAGAACTGTAATTACAAGGTTGGCGAAAGGACTGAAGTATGGCTACATGAAACAAACCATCGCGTGCGAAATTAAGAAATATGCTATTTTTCTTCTTGACAAAATTATAATGCGGTTTTATGAATATCGCATTAGATGAGCTCCCGCGTAAATTTAATTACAGCGGAAAATGTGAGAAACTTAATTTTGTAGGTTGTGCTGTACTAAAACAGAACATTTCTGAAGCATTGGTTCTGCATAGTATGATTTATTGGACTCTGAACTGTGCATCCGATGTGCTGAACATGTCAAGAAATATAATTTAATAAAAATTACGTTTTCAACGATTCGCATTTTTCCATATAGACATTTAACAATATTGGCTAGTTACAAACAACGTACTTTTGAGTTTATATTCACCTTTATGGTCTATTCATCTATGAGCACAACAATATACCATAAAATGTCTATAAATTAATATGATCAATAACGCACTTCCGCGAAAACAACAAGACTATGACGGAGGAAGCTTAGACGGTCCGTAGAACACTCGATCAACGTGCGGAAGGAGTAGACGAGCTTCGGGCGGGTTATTCGCGTTTACGGTGATGACGTAGGCGATATTTCACCTTGGCTAAAATTTTCTGCATGTTCCGCGGTCGGTGATGATTCGTAGGAAATGAAAATGCTTCAGAAATGGCTGACGCCGCCGAACGCTGTTCTTTCCTTTTTCCGTAACTTACTGAGTTATTAATTTTTCCTAACGATTATTTCGCAGTTTTGGGTGTTGTACCAAAACTCGTTTCAACAGAACAGCACCTCAGTGCGTGCGATACACCGAATGCTCTGTCACCGTCTGGATACAATGTTGCATAGTCTTCGTGGAGGTTAACATGCATTATTTGCCTGGATTAGCCGGGAGCTCGATCCGTCACTTGGACGGGTGCTAGATTTCGAACATCTTCTCCCGGGCGTTATCACAGAAATTATTCCACAAAAGCTTGGACAATTCGCAACATACCAACTCGCCGGCATGGGCGGCTGTCATCCGTAGCACATACACGCCGTCTTGCCGCAGAAAGTTGACAACAAACCTTCTGAGCGACTGCGAATCTACCATCTTATAACCTTCGATACCGATCAGGTACTTTCCAACAAAGTTAATCTGGCGCCCAGGTACGGAACTGATGAACAGCCAGTATAATAAACTTCCTAAAGTACTGATTCCTAGCAGAATGTACCAAAACCAGAGGAAGAGAAAAATCTTTTCGTTAAACATGTTGATCATAAGCACACATTGAACAGTGTGTCTGTGCACGTTGCCTAATACCTTCACCTCAAAGTCGCACATGGTAACCCTCGGAAAGTTACCCGACTCTTCCCATTCTCGGTTGTGCAATAAATCGTTCAGGATATGAAATCCGAACAAAGTGTCGTTGCTGCCCAGAAACAGATTCAACAGGAACAGCTGGCCGACGATGTTCACCAGATACAGCAGCTTGACGCACAAGTACAAACAAGTGACGGCTGCACCGCTGTTCCTTGTGCAGATCAGCATGTTGATCAGTTTGAATTTGGTAGTCGAAGCGATCTGATGTCTGATGCGCAACGCCTCTTCCAGGTGACACGCTATAGTTTCCAGAGCTCTTCGACGCGACTCGGCGTCCATCAGTCTCGAGTCACACGCCATCTGAACTAGTGACTGCACATGAATGCCTAAAAACTCTGTTCAGTTATTCCATGTTGAAATTCATAACAATTCTTGCCACCATTAATCGTGCAAATATTCACATTTCCTTCGAAAGATAAACGCTTATGCAAATGAGAGTAAACGAGTTTTTCGTATAAGCCGAAACTGATGGATTTACGATTCTGAATGAAACTGAAGAAATGATGTGCGGCGGCTCAACGATCGATAGACGCAACAGGCAAAAATTCACCTATCGCTACTTAGCTATCGAAGTGTCTGTATTCGACTGAAAGTTTAATATCACATTTTGTAAATGTCCAAATGGAAAAATTCGCATATAACAATAGTTAACGTACGTGTGATATTTTGCACATGTGAATTATTGTCCGTCTGCGCTGAGATAAGTTGATTAAAGGGTTTCGAGTGTCCAATCCAGTCGTAAAGCACAGCTAATGAAAGCGCACAGAAAATGGTACAGTACATCATGGTCAACGGAAGCATAAAAGTTGAAATGCCGAAGGAATGGATATGAAGAAACAATCCTCAAATATATTTGTATGTGACTATGGATCGAGGTGTATCCGTCGGTGTTTGAACATGCTTTTCTTCGACCGAACAAAGCAGTGTTGCAGGTGTTACAGTGCCACAGAACCGTAGTGTTCGTAAGCGTAAACTACAACAAGCAAGGGATTAAGCGACTACGTCGTCCCAATCTGAGAAGTGATAGGAGAATGTCAATCTTCAAACATTAGCGTTAGCTGTGATGCGAATAAATACGAAATCTCACAGAAAGACAACAGAGGAAACCGTTACGGTAACGATAGGTTCAGTGATTTATCTGCAGGTGAGGTTGAGCGAAAATACCATCAAGGCATCGTAACGGTGTTGTGACCTGGTGAATGCAGTTTGCCAACAAATTAACATGCTGCCACATCTTGAAAAGTTGTAATACCTACTAGCTTGATTGAAAATGGCTGTTGTCATCCTACCATGTTCATACAACGGTCCTG